AACGTCGAATCTGAATCACTTGAAAAAAACACGGGGGTGCTTAACTTTTTTCCAGGTGTATATATAAAAAGTAAATATGGAAAAGCCTGGAATATACACTGATGGTTTTTATTTCAAATATATTGTAAAGTTTAACTCATTTATCACAGATTGTGATCCGTGTTACATGTAGTCTTGTTTTAATTATATATTCTATCTGTACTAATAATGTCTGGGATATTTAATGTTCATTAGATGAGCTGTGTAGACCTAGAGTGCTCTTATAATTATTTCTTTTGTTTACTGCTGAACCATGTGATGTTTTAACAGTAGGTAACTATCTGTACAAATAATGTCTGGGATATTTAGTGTTCACTAGATGTGTTATGTGGACCTAGAGTGCTCTTATAATTATTTCTTTTGTTTACTGCTGAACCATGTGATGTTTTAACAGTAGGTAACTATCTATACCAATGATTTCAAATATTTAGTGTTCACTAGATACGCTATGTGGACCTAGAGTGCTCTTATAATTATTTCGTTTGTTTACTACTGAACCATGTGATGTTTTAACAGTAGGTAACTATCTGTACTAATAATATCTGGGATATTTAGTATTCACCAGGTGAGTGATATAATTATATATTCGGCTTACTGCTAAGTCAGGTGACTTATAGGAGACAAAAGATGAATTTCAAATGCTATTTTTAGATGCCCTTGATTTTGAATCTAAAATAGACAAACAAAGAGGAATGTGGAAAAAAAACATATGCATTTCATGTGAATTTTATCCAAAAATTATAAGCATTTTGATCTCTCATTGTTTTCTCATCTTTTGGCATTTAAAACATAGCTTTAAATAAGTAATAATAATAATTATGAATTGAATATAAACTATATATATTCATCCCACTCTAACAGACTTTAAGCATGTTCTCAGGAGGTTAACTGATTAGATAAGATTATGATTTCTTTACAACTTAGTTGACAGTGTCAGCATCTGTTAAAACTAAATATCATTTGTTTCTTGCCATGTGTAATCTGAATTTAATCACAGTTGGTTCAAATAAGGTTTTCAAGTAATTGTTGACTTAAAAGTAAAACTTAAATTATTCTTCATAGACAAATACTTTAAAAGCTTTTAGCAGTGAAGTTCTGGTTCACTTGCATCATGGGATTGCATAACACATTGTTTCTATCATTAAACATTCTTCTACAGAATATGTAATACATTCACATGGAATCAGATTTAGAAACTTTTGTTCGTATTATATTATAGTAATGGAATATCTAACAAGTATGTCCATATATAAGCATAATGTATAAAAACTTCTACACTATGGACTAATGTGAATATTTTTAGAAAGCAAATAGGTACAGTGGGAATCTTGTTAATCTACAAAGTGAAAACTGTGATTACAGAAGAAGTAATAAATAAATAAAAAAACAGTTCAGTGAAGCTGGTCCACATCCTGGTACCAATAACAAGATTGTAAACAAGGAATTAAAGTTGACAAAGATTTACAAACAAAAGTTTACATGCTTCCAGCCACATCTCAAAGTCACTAGCTGTGTTCTTGAGAAAGAGAAATCAAATTAATCCTGTCAAGTCTTCCACTACAGCTTGGTCTGCGTAAATGTGATCTTGGAAGCTGACATCTAAGAGATATAGTCTAATATTGATTACACCATCCCTTGCAGATACATGCTACAGTTTTCAACTTTTCAACAATAATGATTTTTCATTTTTCTATCATTAGATTGATTTTGGGCCAGAAGAGGTTAAATTGAAAGGTTTTAGTAGGACTATAAAAGTTAATGCTTCTGTAATTATAATCCAGCTTTGTAAACTAGCATAGTCGGAATCATGCTAAACAGTTTTTGGTTCAGTTTTAAAAATATCAGCGAACAGGAAAAAGAACTTTTGTTTTAAATATATTTTTTGATAGATACAATGCATTTGAGTAAATTATATTTCTAATTTAACCTGCATTTGGTAAACAACAAAGTCTTTTCTTTTGTTTTTTCTCGGTTGAAGGACATTTCCTACCCCTTCTGCTGTGCTGAGCCACAATGCTAAATGCCATGTTCCAGCTGTTCAGGGAAATTTCCTGTGTCAGTGGGAAAATTGTGACTCCTTAAAAAGGAAGCAATTTTCTTTACTCACTCACATTCAAGTAAGTTTTATTTTCTGTAGGTTTAGCTTGTAGCTTTCCTTTTACTACTGAGTGTTATGTTTTTATGTATTTCACTTCTTCTTCAGGGTGCAAAACTTTCAAGTTGTTAATTTTTTATTTAGTATGTATTTCAACTTATTATCCTTTTCATGCCTGGTCTCTTGCCTACACTTTTATTTTGACATTTTTTTTTATTGTTTTCTTGTAAGTTTTGCTTTCCTTTATATTGGGTTAATTGTAAGTTTTATTGGGAAGTTAACGATTTCGAACTTTAATGATAGTTTAAGTTTTTATTATTTTAACTGTTCAATTGTCATCGTTAATTTTTAATTAGATATTTTGTAATTAAAAATTTAAGTTGCAGCTTCTTGGGTTTTTCACAAACTGACATTATGATATTTGAATGTATGTATATATGTGTGTGTGTGTGTGACTGAAATATAATCTAACCTAAGATAGGTATATCCATGGAACATTTTACTGTATACTTCAAAGATGATTGGTTGAAGTGAAGATCATAGAAATCCTGGAGTTTTCTTCTTAACGTCATCAAATATTTACCTTGTATTTGGGTTTCTAGATTGCAAATATGATGGTTCCAATTGCCAACTTACACTGATACCTCAGTATCTATTACCCCCAGAAATGGGCAAAATAACTTTTCACCAGTCCTTTTTTATGCCCTAAATCCAAATTTGAAAATTATTTTTCCAAATGTAATTTTTTCTCAAAAAAAATCAGGCCCTAAGGTTGGGAACTTTCACAATTATGCATAAGAAGGAAAATCCCCACTCTCCTTGCAAGTAAGTTAGTGTGGACCAGGTAGTTAAAAATGGCGTGTTTTGTTGTGCAAAATTAAACTTTGAATCCAACCTCCATCAGGTTACTTTTTTTAGATATTTTGCTCAAATTTTGTACAAAATGTATTGACAACATCAAATAAATTACTTATTAAATGTTGAAAATACTCAGGCATTTCAACTTGGAGGTCAAAACTTTGATTTTTTTCCATGTTCTTTGACCCATTTTAAGCTTATTAACAGTTTGTTCAGTTCATAAATGATTACTTTTTTCTGACTGATTGTTTCAATTTTATAACTTTTTTACCCAGATATTTGGTGGAATGGGTATTTCAAATATACAAAACATAATGTTTTATTTTACATAGCCAATAAGTTTTGTACAACTTTTTATCAGCAAATTTTTAAAAAAGTAAATTGATAGAGGTTAAATTCAAACCTTGAACTTGCGAAACAAAACACACCAGCTTTCACTGCTAGGCAATGTTCGCTTATTTGCAAGAAGAGTAAGGATTTTTCCATGTGTGCTTAACCCTTTCCCTGTTGTAGATCATTTAATGTGTTTTATGAATATGCTTATTTGACGACTTATCCTAGTAGGTATGAGTAAAGCATATCCTTATAGCATTACTGTAAGAGAGTGGAATAGATAATCTTAGCAACTAAAAATCCTAGGTTTACATTTTCTCTTACATGAAAGTAACTTAATCGATCATCACTCATATGTGTTTTAGAGCATCCATGTGATGCTTGTATGAAGCTCTATTCTAATCTCGTACGTTGAACCAAAACAACTAGTTCGTATTGCCATGTTCATGAGCATCAGCTGCATATCAAATAAATGTAGCTGTGTATCAAACATGATACTCGGGCACTTTAGCATTATGTATTGTGAATCACATGTGACACACAGGACAAGGATAGGGCTAATGGTGAAAGTTCCCAACTTTAAGGCCTAATTTCTCAATGAAAACAGCATGTGGAAAAACAGCTTTTGTATTTAGGACACAAAAATGCACCAGTGAAATATTATTCTAGCGTTTTTGAGTGTGACAGTTGCTGAAGTGTCTGTGTTAATGCTACAAACTAAAACAAAAAAATCTAGAGTCAAAGCATATTTTACCTTGTTATCTGTTCTTGAATTATATTGATTAGTCTTGTGCATAAACTGTTTCTTTCTTGCTTTATGAACCTAGTTCATGCATTAGCTAATATAAAATCTAATAATCTTTTTGTGATTGTATTTTATCTTTCATCACCACAATGAATTCAAATATTTAATTTTTCTTTAGGATCACCATTGCACAGACCAGTATCTCCAGACACAGGCCTTACGGCGGGGAGAAATCTCTCAGCGTGGAAAAACAACCATCCCACCACCCTCGCTTCCTCCCAGACACCCTGGCTATTCTCCCGATGCAGCTTTTTTGGCAATACGCAGGCATGCTCTTCAGTTTGTGCAGCAAAAAGACAAAATGGTAAGAAACAATCAGATTAAGACAAAAATAACATATTTCAGTACAGATGACTGCATAAGCACAATACCATGATGGGACCTCATATGCACGTGTCAGTGGCTTTTCCATGCAAAAGAGCTTCTATAAAAAACGACAAGCTCAGACTAGACTAATTTGGAAATTTAACAATATAATCAGAAAAACTTATTAATATTAAAGCCTTTGAATACTGGGATGGTAACATGCAAGTTTTCTCAAGTACTGCATGGTCATGTAACAGTTTGTACACATTATTAGAAATTCATCTGCATTTAATATATTCAAACCAACCACCTGTAAATGATTACAAAAAACATGCTTGATTTTTGTTTTTAACTCTGTAGGAAGAAGAAGAAAGTCCACTAACCAAAAGCATCCGACTGACTGCAGCTCTAGTACTAAGAAATTTGATCATCTATTCTGAGTTGGCTTGCAGGTACATGAGTGATTGATATTAATATGAATAAGTAGGGTTAAAATTAAGGTATACGTTAACTTAGAGCTTTGTTTCATGCAGCTGTATTAGTTTTGTATTTAAGAATGGTTCACCAGGTTAATTACATTTGTTATTTATAATAAACTTGTATATGTTGTTACAATGGTCCAGTTAAAACAATGATGAACAGTCCATGTATTGGTTTGAATAACAGGTTTATTAGCCACTTGTACAAAACATCTCTCTTCCCAAACAATACGGGACTGGCTAACTACACATGTTTTAGGCTACACAGTCATGTTATTTCACTAATACCATACTCAGGCCTAACTACCCAGTTTTCAGGCTACATAATCAAGTTGTTTCTATAATACTGGACTCTTGATCAACTCACTGAAGAGAATACAAGACTTTTCAAATACTTCACTTATTTTTCTAACTCATAATCAAAACTGATTACATAAGATTTCACCCAATGAATAATGCATACAGTTTACATCAGATTTTTTTTACCAGAAGACACTAAATACATACAATGCCCTCTCTCCAAAAGCATTTACAAGACAGTTCAATTTTGATAAATTAGAACCTGTAGATTGTTTTTGTCCAAGAACCATTAAACATAATTATACAGTCTGATATTAACTTTTATAAGAGTGCTAAAAATAAAAGATGTTAGATATCATTCCATAATCCCATTTAAACAGAAATTATAAGTATGACAACAGATTACATGTGATTAAAGAAGATATTGTCAAAAGTGTTTAGAACAAGGAATTATGTATAGAGTTAAAAAAAATTCAATATATATAATTGTGTTTTTAGTTTCAGAAATATTTGTTAAATACGATACACAGAGAGAAAAAATGCACAGAAACATTAACTGTTTTTGCAGTACATGTGTTGCTTCTCATCTGAGTGTGATCTAGTGATTATTAAATAGTTTTGTATTTCTGTTTGCTGTATATTAATTGCACCTATGAGCATAAGAAAAAAGAAAAAATTGTTTTCTAGTTTCTAAGAGGTGAACAAGATTAAATTTAATTTCTTTTTTGATATCAGAAAATATGTGGATTACAACTGTTTATATTGATCTCTAACTTGCAGTTACTTGAAATACTATGAACCAGAGCTAACTCTTCTAGCTATGTCATCTAAAGAAGGAGCTCAAATGTTGAGTCACTGCTTAGCAGAGTTATCTAAGAGTCAAGACTGAAGTGACATACAAAACGTGTAGTAAATCAACTGCATCATGTGTGTTGATGGAACAAGTTGAAGCTTACATTCCCATTGGCTTTGAATAATATTACTTTGGGAAGGTAGATTATATCAACCTGTATCTTCAAAAATGGAGCTTCAACTAAGAACTTACCACTTGTTTGGAAAACAAGTTAGAGCCATGGCATCCTTTATCTGTGATGTCAAAAGAAAATAACAACTCCAAACTTTGTCTTGTAAGAAAGGGTTTTAAATATTGGTTCACTTATTGAAAGAAATATTCTAGAATTAATTTCCAAGTAGCTTCAGTGTAGTGGACATAGCTGTATAATTTCAGCCAGAAACTTGCTCCGAATCTAACCTTCATTGTATTTAAGAATGGTTTATGTGAACTAATGCTTTTTCAGCAGTGGTTTTGGTTGATAATTTCAGTCAATTTGTGTGAGCTACTGTACTGACTGGAGTTTTAGAAGGAGTATTCCTGTGTATATATGAATTAATAAACAGAAAGTATAACCACGTGTAGCTCGTTGAAAGTGACTTGTATTTCAACAGAACTTTTCTACAAATGTCAGCTGAGAAAGCAATGATTCTGGTAAGTTGTTTTCAGTGTTTGTCATGAGATGGACATTCTGGTTTAAACAACTTGGGAAGAAAAAATTGTTGAACTGGGAAGTTTAGAAACTTTTATGATAATTAAGAGACTCAGATTTTGATGAAGAAAGTTGCAAATGTTATATGGAAAACAAATATTTATATACATGTAATGTTTAATTATTTAATTTTCTCTATGTAATTAGATAATGTACATGCAAAGAGAAGTTGGGTTCTTTTATTGATGTGTCATAAAATAATGTTAGACAAAGTTTTTTATATAAAGTTTTTCCAATTTTAACCATGGGATGGTGTTGCCATTGTGTACTTTTCTGTGGACCAAAATGGCATCATATTGTTTTGATTGTGAAAGTTGTCAAACTTGTTGCATATGGAGTTGCTTGCATTTCTTGTACAGTAGAAATCAGAGGGTGGAATCCCTTAAAAATCATCTTTTTTGTAAACTCTCATTCTTTTGTGAGTACAAATTACATTATCTTTGGTCATTATTACAATCATCAAACAGCCATTTTCATTTTCTCTCGTTAAATGTGCATAAATACATTAATTTCAGTGATTAAAGATTTGTAAAGTTTTATTGGAAATCACTGCAATATTTTTTCTGTTTTTCTGACAATTCTACATTTCATAATCTAACACACACTGTGGTTTTATGTGCATCTGTACATTTGTAAACCATTTTGACTCGATCATTATATATATTCTTTTATGTCTGAAAGAGTATTTCATGTGATTTTATTGTTGGTAGCTTTTACTAAAGAGGTTAAGATTTTCCTTTGAACCAGTTTGCAAAGAGTGTACATAATAAATAATAACAGAAGGATGTAACAAAGACTCGTCTAATTATAAACTCATGAAACTTGAACATACTTCTTTCTAGAATTAAACAATGAGGTGCTTTTATTATAATAAAATCATTACTTGTTCAGTAGACACCATCGTTGCACTGTTTGTTAGTGAGACCTCAAGTTTTATATTAAATACAGATGCTACATCTTTCCTGTTTAAAGCCGTCTCATTTCACATTTTTATTATAAAAGTGACACTTTTCTCTCTTTCTATTTAAAGAGCCCTATTCCATGTATGTCCCCTAATTTTTTTATCACTGAAGTTGACTTTTTCTCCTGGTATGCAGCTAAGGTACATAATGCTTTTGATTCAGATTATCAGAAACCATGCCTAAGAACATATCAATTGAGTGATCCAAATAACAATCAAAACAAAAACAGATGTATTAAATAATTTGTTTGTTCTTTTGTAACCAATAAAATAAGATAGGTTTAATAACAAATGAAACTTTTTTTGTGTGTGTGCATCAAATGTTCCATTGCCTGACAAAAAAAAATTTGTCTTACAACTGGGTCACCTCTTCAGTGTTAAATTCAAGTGTCATTACAATAGATAAAATTATGGCCTCTCAATGTACGTGTTGAAGCTATGCATATGTTCCAAAGATTCTTTATTATATTTTAACCACCTGTTGGTTTATATTCACTTTTATACTGCTTTTATATTATATTTTTCACTATCACAAA